GGAATGTGCTGCATCACATGATGAGCTGGAGACAGGAAGAGAAGACGGATTCAAAAACAAATCCAACATGTTTGACATTGGGAAAGATATTCTGTGCCCTCCTAAGACTAATGTTCAACCGTTACGCTGCCTCCCCTACACCCCAGTGTAGAATAAATCACTTTGCGGTTATTGGTTAACGCAGCCAGGAAAAGTGCAGATAAACACGGCAGAATCATTGTCACATGAGACCAAGATCACACAGGGATCTAAATCACACTCTCAAAACCATTTATTGTGCAGCCCTAATACCATTAAATATGTTTTTACTGGTGCTTGTAATTGGTACCAGTAGATAGAGTGCACCTACTAGAAGCGACAGATACTCACACATTCACTGTGTAAGCTCCACAGTCTTAGCTGTGATAAAGTGTTGCATTATTACACTGTTGTTAATGGAAACAGGAGTTATAGCCTAGATGTTTTTAGGGGCTGATTTCCACTGCCTGCATTCTATCCTACTCAGTTTGGTTTTCCCCTTTGTTCCTTTCAGAATGTTATGTTGTCAGAACAATTATTATTGACCAAATGTAACCAAATTCACTGTGAAATTTGTAAATATTTGTTTGAATAAGGATCCTGATTTCGGAAATCTTAATTTAATAACTGCAATAATAATAATATAATTTCTTAAAATAAATTATGCTATTATGAATGTGTGTGTATTGAAAATGTCGTCTTACAAGGATGTTTTCTACAAGATGTAAGTAGTTATTTCTTTTAGCTTTTAAGATTTAGAATTTGCATGTTTTTTTAACAAAAACTCAAATATAAAACCAAATCCCCTGTGTTCTTGCACTTTTTTAAACAAACAAGCAAACAAACTGCAGTAATGTGCAATATCCAGGTTAAAGAAATTAATAAATACAAGTGGGAGTGGATTACTTTTTCCATTAGTAAAGGACAAGATACTGCTCAGAAAACACACTGGTCTAGTCTAGTGCTAACCCTGGGTACAGCCGCAGAAATGTAGGACGTGCAGAATGCACATGACACGGTGGCACTGTGGTGAAAACTGAATCTGGGTCCTTTCCAACAAGCAAGGTGGCGCAAGACATCAATCACTCCCCCTTTGGATTGCATAATATTAAGATATATTTTTGTTGATGATTTATATCTGATCAATGCACTGAGGACATCCATACAATTATTCCTGGTTTTCTCTTTAATCTATAAAAGATCACCTTAAATATATTTTGTTAGACATTTCTTGAATGTTGTATAATATATTGTTAGATCATATACATTTAAAGCAACCTCACAACACCTCCATTAATCGTTAATCATCTCACCATCCAGCTCTAACTCTGCTTGTTTAAAAATAATTCAAACGAAATTCCCACTAATTTAAATGCAGCACATTCTTGTACTGTGTAAGAAAATACTTTGTGGCAATACCTGCTGTTAAAGAACTGACCAGCAGGGGGCAGCATTGCCTCATTTAATTCAGCCTCTGGCTGGTGATTTGTCATGCCTACAGTGTATGTTGTGTTTATTATAGTGCTTCAGTTATACAGTAAATTAAATATGTCAGTAGCCAGTTAAGTTCTAAATAAAGTTTTATTTTAACACAATCAGCTGCTTGTGTTTTGCATGAGGTTTTATGAGCATTATTAAAAATCATCTCATGTAAAATCAATCAGTTTGTGGCATATTTTGAAGGAGAGTTTGGTTAAAATTGAATTCACATTTTATGGGTGCCTATTGTTTAACTCATATCCGAGACATGAGAATAAAGGTAAAAACAAACATGCTGAGTATATTGTGAAATAGAGTGTAAATGTGTGACATTGGCCTCTCTTTGTGTACTTAATCTTATGCCTATACATGTGCCTTGGCTGTTCTTTGCAACCGTTTTATGCTGTAAGATAATGTAACAGTTGGGTTCGACCTACGCAACAACCCTCACACAATGTTATGGGAAATTTTTCAGTCCTCCTACTCAGAGTATCGTGATACCTCCGCCTCAGACACAGTGCAGTAATCCGCTAACTCTGACATGTACTTTCACTACCTTTTGTGTATTTCTAGTCACTAGTAAACACTCATACACACACATTCGTGTAAGAATTCACTCTTGCTCAGCTTGTAGTTCTACACAATTTCTTTCAAGGTTTGTCCCTCTGCAAGGGAAGTGACCTTCTGAGTTCCCCTGAACACACCGCTCTCATTTATTCCCAGTAAATGAAAAACTCCCTCTGATCTCATCTGAGCTCCACACGACATCCCCGGCTCTGCATATCCGCATGGGTGTTTATGTAATGTTTGCTTGGCAGCTGGTCCAGTGTCCAGTGGCCTGTGATATGGGCCTTCCATATCAATGTGTTACTGTTTGTCCGTGTGCAGCTAGAGATGCATGTGCTTGTGCAAGCTTTAAGTGTGTTAGTCAGTGTCCATGTAGGTTGAACCTCCTCTGAGCTCCCATGTTTCTGCACTGAGAGAAAGGAGTGTAGGAGGGAATCATCTCCAACTCATTTTATAAATGAGACACTATAAGATGCATTATATATGAACAGACAATATGTCCCATGAAAAGATATTTCATGGTAGCCTGCCAGCAACGCTGTGTAAACACAGGAGGTTAGTGATAACATGCTCTCATGAAACAAGAGATGTAAGTCATTTTTTTGTAGAAAAACACCCAAAGTCTCTCTTTCATTTGAGTTTCTTTCTCTCTCCCCCTCTGCTGGCTTCTCAAAATAAATCAGTCTGCTAAACAAAGGTGCTTGCTTGCTTGAACCTCTGCAGAGCTCAACTTTCTCATTCCCAGCTGCCTCGGCATGACCCCTGAACCTTGCCCTTTGACCCCCTGACCAAGTCACTCTCATGCTCAGAAACAAGTTTCAAAACAACTCTTCTCCTCAACTTACCACAAACCCCTGCAATGTAAATGCATTTCCTGCCAACATGGCAGCCTGTTTGTTGAACTAAAACACACTCATAACCCTAATTATACAGCAAGGTTAACTATATTTCTCACAGTTACTGTAAAGCAAACACCATCATCCCTGCTGCTGACCATGTCTTACCAGAGGCCAGAATCCACACACCAACACACTTCAATACACACGTTATATACACGACTGTACCCCACCCTCTGCCCTGTGAGTGAGCTGACCAGAAATCCCTGAGTAAAATTAACTTCCCAGCTTGGTCCTTATCTGTTTCTGCACCCAAATTAACGTACATGACACCCAATGCTCAGGATACTGGTGGCCAGGTTCAATATAAACAGATCTATGCTCCTGCAGTGCATGCATGCTTCTGCAATGTGGTTTCTCCTCTCTGTCAGGCTCTGTGACAAAGAGCCAGTGTTGTGGCCCAGTAGGGAGAAAATAGTGCAGATGAAAAGGTGAGGAATGAGTCTTCTTGCATCTTTTTTTTTTTTTTTTATTTACATTGCAATGTTATGCCTCAAAATCTAGACCATTATTAGACCTCTCTTGTAAATTATGACCTGCAGTCAACTTGTAAGATGTTGTTTCTTCACGGTTAAGGTGCAATAAGAAGGTTGCTTTATTTCCCATGAGTTTGTTTTTTCAACACTCTTCCTGTAATTTTTTTTTATCAAACTCTCCAGGGCTACCCAGGCAAAAATACATAATATGAAGGTTCTTGATCAGGATTGTTGTTATCCTAACATAAACACAGCTAGCTGTGCCCTCCTACATAGTCTGTAGGCTGTAACCACTCCCCTAGCCTGTCTCTCATCTGTTACTGAACCCCAAACAGACCCCACTGCTCTTGTTGAAATCCAGCTCCTGCCCATTAACCCTGAAACTCCCTCAAACATTTTCCACAACTGTTTCTTTCAGGTTCTTCAACCCCCACAGTCTCAGCCACAACCTCACTGCCCTTGTTTTCCACCCCATCTCCAGTCCTATAATTGCCTCTCTGACACACAAGCACACACACATGTACACACGCAGAGATCCAGACAGCTGTGCTTACACTCGGTGGGTCTGTGGGAACTTCCTGCTTTTTTTTTTCTTGAATGGATCGATAGCTGATCACATGGATCTTTTCACACAGTTTGGTCGTTCCAAAATTACCACACAAAATAGTTCAAACACACACAATCAGACAGATTAGACTTGACAGAATAATTTGCACAAAGAATCAGACAGAAGGCTAAAACTACTCTGCATGGATGAAAATATCTCTGAAGCACGTATTACAGCCTGTTATTATGAAAGTGGATGTGTTTTTTAATGATTTACTGTATATAATCACAAGATTTTTCCTGGAAACCTGAAAACAATCACATTTTTATGCTAATGACATTCTAAGCTCTCAGATAGCACTAACCTATTCGCCCTCACTAATGGAAAACATGGCTTCTACACACACATGGTCCCTCTAGACTTGTCTGTAAAACAAATGTCTGCTTCAAAGTTGTCATTCTGACCTTTTGTTACTTCTTGCTCAGAGTCAGGAAGTTAGGTTGAATCTGATCAATGTTTTTGAAAAACACATCCTGGTATTGACACAGCCTGAGCTGGAAACCACCAACTAGTTCAAGTGTAGAACTTCCTGTGTGTAAAAACAACTAACCATGTTTAAAGATATCTTAGCTTGTAGCTGAGACTGAGAAACAGTAGGTCTCTATTAAACCTGTATTTGTGCAGGTGCAAGTTTTGCTGTACTTATTTAGAGCATCATTTGTGGCACCGTAACAGCAGTAGCATTACTATAATGTGTAGAAGGTGCTGCTAAATATGTGAGTATTATCATTTAAAGCAGTTGTATACTATTTATACAAATGCATATGCTTTCAGGCTGCACAACACTGTGTCTACAATATGAAGATGTACATAGTGAGTTTTCTTTTTCTTTAAGTTTTTTTTTGTGCTTAAGTCATATCCTCGTCAACATCAAACTATTCTAAACTCATACTTACAGAAACAATGTGCCT